AATGTGGTTTTTTAAAAAATAAAATGGAGTACTACTCAGCCATGAAAAATGAGAAATTAGAGATACTTATAGGTAAATGGATGCACATTGAAACCATATTCTTAAGTGAAACAAATCGGACACACGTGTAAATACTGAATAATTTCTCTAGTGTGAGAAACTGGAAGTGTATATAAGGACTAAAAGGTATAAAAGATAATGTGAAATAGGAAGAAAAGGGGCTAAGGGGAAGGGGAAGTGAGCGGTAGGAGAAAGGAACGAAGGTAATGGAATTAATATGAGAAAACGAAATAATGGAAACAAAGTCTTTGTAAACAGGGAAGGATGGAGGTGTTGAAAGGAAGGGAGGGGAAGGGGGAAAAATAACCACCAAGAGAGACTAGGTAAAGGTGCAAATTTCCAATGTTGAATGTCATTATATTGTATACCTAAAATGTACCAATAAAATAAAATTTAAAAAATATTAATAAGAACAGTCAGAAATAACACATGTAAGTGTATGATTTGAAAAGATTTCCAAGAGAAAGTGAATTTAAAAAGAAATTTAAAAGCTCACTGACTATGTGAGTGGAGCTATCAGTGATAGTCCTCCAGGTGTGGGATATGGTCTCAGCACAGAGGCTGAGCCAAAAAGTGGTTCTGTGCCAAAAACTAGGAAGGGATTTCTGGGGAGAGGCCAGGAAGGGTGGCTTATAAGAGAGCAGAGAAAGTGGGCAGAGGACCTTGGGATGAGATACTTGGATTCGATTAAATAGGTGATAGGTTTCCATGTAAGTCTTAATAATGACAGTGAATACTAGCTGGTTCACCACCTGATAAATGGAGACATGCTAAGATCCTAAAGTCTGGAATGCCCATCTAATTGCTTGGGTTTCTGAGGCTTAATGGATACCTACAGCAAGCACACAGGACCTTGTGGCAATATCTAATTGTTGTCCCTCCCTAGAGTTCTGATCCCATTTTCCTATTTTTATGTTCAAGGAACCACGAGCCTACTATCATGTATTCTTTTTGACAGGCTAATCTAGAACTGAGAAAAACATGCAAGGAGTGTAAAACATAGCCTGATTGACAAAACTAGGTCCATATGCAAGACATGAACAGCTATGGAGGATACAAGTCAGAGAAGACTGTTTTCTTCAGAAGTTTTACCAAATGAAAACCATTATGATATCCCTCCTATGTGTAACTGAAAACTATAAACTATAAAATGATCATAGGACCTTCACTTAAGTTCTGATTCTGTCAGTGCTTCCTGTTTTGTTTTTTGTTTGAGACAAGGTCTTGCTATATAGTTCAGGCCAACCTTGAACTCACTATGTAGCTCATGATGGCCTCACACTTGTGATCCTCCTGCCTCAGGCTCCTGAGTAATGGGATTATAGGCATGCACCACCACGCCTGGCTTTAGTGCTTCTTTTTGAAAGATTCAATATCTAATCCTTATAGAAGTTTTTTTTTCTGCATCTTGATATGCTTATGTGCTAACCTTGTGTTTAGTTGGCCCACTGGGTGGTCTAGCAAAGCTGTAAGAAATATAAAAGCAGGGCTGGGCATTTAGCTCAGTGGTTCTGGCGCCTACCTCGCAAGCGCAAGGTTCAGAGTTTGATCCCCGATACCCACCCCCAAATATATATAAGCAGAAGGAGTATGTGAAAACGTAACAGGGGTTTTATACTCCTTAGTGTACTGAATGTATTAAGCAACAAATACTAGTTACTCACAAGGGAACACTATCTTTCACTGAAGCACTGGAAAAATACTCCACCCAGTACTGAATCTGTTCCAGATTTGAAAACTTTTAGGGGCCAAACTTTAGGGGCCACTGGATTAATGAAGAGTTGAGCTGTGGCATTAAACAGTTAATTAAATGAATCACTATCAATTTTACAGAAATCAGTTGCTTAGACATTTGAAAAGATCCTTTGAATCCACAATTCTATTTAGTGGCCTCATTTACATACTACTTTTCTGAAGTAACCACTGGAAGTTCCAGCCAAGAAATAGCTGGAACTGGGTGGGCACAATTGCAGCTGATGAGGACTACAGCCTGTAAGTCATTTCTTGGCTAAATCTGCCCACTTCTGCTTCATTATGCAGTGAACTACTAAGTGCAGACTTACCTGCCATGCCTCAACCTTCTTGATGTCTGCACAGGAACCATTGGTGAAGAGCCCTCTCCCAGGTAAGCAGGTGTATATATCTTGCAAGGCATGGGCAATGGAGTAGACTGCTAAGTATACATTGTAGGATATCCGTAGATGTGTGTAATCCATGTAAGGGGTCTCAACACTGCTGATATTCTCCTCCCCTGTGCAGAGGGGTCGGAAGGCAGTGGAGCTGTTGCTTAATTTGCTGTTACCTTCTTCATGACCTCTTAGGAAGGTGTCCATGGGTAAAGGTCCTTTAGCACCTTCTTGGAGGTGGCAGTTAAATGTTTCTTCCCAGAACTCCTTGACAAAACCATTGTGGACAGACTTCCTGGGATGGACTTTTTGCAGAAATTCCCGGAACCCTGGGATCTTCCCAGCCTTGAGAGCAAACCCAATGGTGCCTCCCACCACATGGAAGTACTCAGGCATGGCGATCAGGGAGGAGCTGGCCCACGCCTCACTGGCCAGCCAGATCTTGCCTGTGATGTTGCGCCGGACAATCTCCTTGATGAGGGGTTCTAGGTCTGGGCCACTGGAGAAAACGACGATGACCTTGGCTTTGGAATTCTGGATCACCTCCACCACCTGCTGGATCTCATCCTCCTCAGAGTACTGGGAGATGAGCTCACTGAAGTCAATGCAGATGTCCCTCTCCTCGGCTTCCTCTCGGAATTTCTCGATCCCCGGCCGGCCATAGTCATCATCAGCAGCAATTGTGCCCACCCAGTTCCAGCGGAAATACTCAATAATGTCTGCCATGGCTGTGGCCTGGTGTTCATCATTGGGGATGGTACGGAGGAAGGACTTGAACTGGTTCTTGTTGCTAAGGAGTCTGCTGGAGGAAGCGTAGCTGACCTGGAAAAAACCCAGAACACAGAATGTATGAATAAGAGAGGCAGGTCCTCGCTGAGCCTCAAGGCTTTTGTAGAGGTTTGTTTTTGAGCATAACTTAATCTCATTTATCAAATATGCTGTTCACTGTGGACAGAATAAAAGGATGAGGAAAACCGGAATCTGTTCCAGCCCAGTATGAACTCCCAAGTACCTGTCAGTTTATGAATAAGCTGGGTGATTCTTCACGATGCTACCTTCAAAAATGGGTCTGGCTATACAGTTGCTCCAGCAACGGGGGTGAACTTACCTTTTCAAAGGTAGTCCTTATGCACCCTTTCATATTTCTGCTAACCTTCTCTGTGTTGCCTTGCTGGTTATAACATATCCATATGCCTAACTTCTGCATGCTGGGCTTGTGCTCTGATCTGAAAATTATACCTTCCCCTTACTGTGATGAACAATTTGTCCATGAACCACCTTTGATCAGGTTTCCTATGGGTCATAAACCTAAGGGTCTTCAGAAAAGCTCCAAGGGATTCCCTTTTCCTGTTCTGCCCAGTTTCCCTCTTCCCAATATCTCCAGATATTCCTTTTCCCATACTTCAGATAAAAGTAATCTCAATTACAGTAATTTCTGAAAACTGTTGATCTTAATTAGCCTATTAAGGCTCATTTGGCTCAATTCCCCTGTACCACAACAACAATGAACATCATTCAGTATTGTTAGAAAAACATTCTTTCCTCCCCTGACTCCTTCGTGGTTCAACCACGACTTAGACCAATTTTCTTTGTCCAGGTGCCTGTGATGGCTGAGTCCACTTGACAAGCAGCTCTCTCAAACCTCACAGAGGCTGAAAAGGAACCTTGGAGGAGCTGCGCTGATATTTTCCCACTGTGTAAGGCACAGGCGGTTCTACCTCTGTACATGAGTGAGCACTACCAAGGAAAGAAAGCTGCGCCTTTGATATTAAGAGAGCACTGCCTGAAGAAGTGATCACATCCTATTAGCAAGTGTGGGGCTCCCCAACTTTTTCCTTATGATGGCACAGAAGATGGGACAAATGGAGGATGCTGGTAAGCATGGTGGGTGTGCTCTGACTTCCTCATCCCCCTTGGCCATCTCAGAGCTCGAGAGGATCAGTATCTTTCGGGAGGTGTTGGTTGGCCTGCTGGCAGTCACTATGCTCACCACGGCTCATCAGTTAGGGAATTCCAAGTTATTGGACCATCTGTTCTGAAGAACAAAACATTTTTACTCTTCATGAAATTTCTAGGAAAAGAAGTAGTGCTTATTATCTCTTGTTCTTTAGTTTTCTAGAGAGTTTTAAAACTTAAGGACACAAGTTGAAGACATTTGGGGAAATACCTTTTTAATAATTCTTGCCAGGTGAAACAATTAGTTTTCTATGTTTAATGCTTTTAAATAAAAATGTCCAGTATGCTTCTTTTCTAAATCAATGAATAGTGTTGACATAAAAGGGACTGATTCATGAAAGAACTGGACCAAATTTGCTAAAGGAGAAGCATGATTTTTCTGACAAGATCTTTAATTTTAGAAGATAAAATATGAAATTGACATTTTTTTTCTTTCAACAAGTAAGACCTTGCTCTACCACAGAAGTTCACGAAGCAGATGATTGAATTAAGTAATTTCTTTAGTTATTACTGGTTTTTGAAAGGTCTGTTTGTAAACTCAAATAATAGGCTTCTGAATCAGATATTTGCAAATGCTAAACCTACTATTTTGTAGGCAGAATTACAGTTCTGTCACCCTTAGGTCCATCCATGATTACTTGCTTCTTGATTTTCATTTGAAAAATGGATCAAAAATGGTTTTAAAGAGATAAAAATTCAAAATACAAATGCTTCTCATGGAAACATGCAAGAACATATTTGTAATATTTGACCAGTTTTCAGTGACCTATAAAGTGGGGTAAATACTTTCTGCCTCCCTCCCCGAAGAACCCTTAAAAACACACAAAAATTTTCTTGTAAGAGAGAAGAATTTCATGACTGGTTCAGAAAACTATTTTAACTACCGTTTCTTTTAGTTGGTCTGATTTGTCCATCCACTTGGTGGCGTGGCTGACATAGGAAATACCACTGGGCATCTGACCCCTCCCTGCAGAACAGTGGTTCCTAGCTCTCCACATTAGAGAATCAGCCAGAGAGCTGCAAAGGTCCAGAGCCAGGATCAACTCAGCTCATTTATGACCTCCAGGAGTGAGACCTGGGCATGAGTATTTTAAAAAGGGAAAGATTTCAATAATCTGAAGAGAACCTAGAACAGGACACGAGTATTAAAACAACTTTACAAGTGACTCCAACTGGTAGCCAGGGCAGAGAATCACTCCTGAAGACAAACTTATATGAGTTTGACTGATAATCATTATTGTCTTCTCAGTACTTCTGTAATTCAAATTCAACTTTACCTTAACTTTCATTTAAACCTTGCAGAATGAAGGCCCTTCCTTTCATGTTCTTTCTGTACTTGACAGTAGTGCCCTCTCATACTTGTTGGCCAAGGGGTAACAACTTATTTTAGCTGTGTATCTGAAATAATGTTCCACAATATGCTAAATTTAAATATGCTCAACACATTTACTAATGTAGACTTTGTCAAATCAGTGTGGCGCTAAAATTACAAAGCCAGGGCTTCCCCATGGGGAACACCTTTAATTCCTTGAAGTAAAGATTCGGTAAATGATGTCTTTCTCTGTTGTCACATGTATCTAAAAAGATAATGGCTATCACCAAGGAAATAGTCTTCCCAACAGAGAAATGTGAATTTATTAAAGGTACACTTAAATGATAAATATTAAACATTGAAAAAAATAAATTTGAAGGCTAATTATAATTTAATTTAAAAGTTGATATGAAAGATGAAGCACAATTGAGCTGATTCTCCTATGCACGGACATTTAGGTTGTTTCCAAGTTTTTACTACTATAAAGTGATGTCACAGAGCTATAGATATTAAATGGAAAGAAGGCTTGCTTTACAGTGTTAAAGGGGAAAATCAAGTAATAAAATGGCATTTGGAGTTTTCTGTCATTTTCAGGGGTTGAAATATGTAACACTGAATAAATGTTTATTAAAGCACTTGTTTCAGTGAACTGTTAGTATTTGAAAATGAAACTACCTCCTCATGTAGGCTGAGTTCTTGCAGGGTGGAGGTCACTTATTCATACATGCTTTATAAATATTTGTCAAATGAACCAGACTTGTCTCTAGTTCTTGAATGTGCAAGACAATGATAAAGCTCCTGTTCTGTGAGAAAATACACTCTATTCATCTCTGAGCTAAACTTTTAACCAGATGGTAAAGAAGTAAATTTTGAGGAAATAGGATTAGAAACTGATATTTTTTGTTTCAAAGGCAGGATTTACATTGTATGGTTTTATTCTTTTTAGTAAAAGCAAAAGCAAGGTCACATATTAAAGGAGTGTGTAAGGAAATAAATAATTAAACACTGGGAAAGACAGATAAGGCTGCATACATACAAGGTACATTTAAAGAATTCTGGAAGACTAGGTCTAGTTGGCACTGTTGACAAATCCCAAACGGTCATGACACAGTGCTCCCATTAAATGGAAGGTCTTTGGTGCCAATGTAAAGTCAGAGACAGGAAAACAGCAAACTCTATGGACACCACAGGTACGATCTGCACCCCCTCAGGTCTGCTCTCTCACTCCTGCCCCCAGGGTCTGTCTGAGAAAAGCCGTTACCTGGGGGATGTAGAAGAGCCCCAGTAGATTGGCCACTGCTGTGGAGACACCAGAGCCAGTTGCTCCCACCACAGCGATGGTGGAGGGGATGTGTTCTGAGCAGTTACAGAACTCATCCAGGTTCAAAGAATCGATTTTGTTCTGGGCAACAAAACTCAGGGTGGCCTCCAAGGCCTTTGAAACAGTGTTGCAAGTGTCGAATATCCTGTATCCGAGTGTCATGTTGGGAAGAAGGGCTGGGCTGCTGTTGATCTCCTCTATGGCAAATATCATGGCTTGTAACCAGCGAAAACCACGGAAATTATACCTGGAAGACAGAAGCAGAAGAAGGACTGGGCAGAGCTGGGTTTAAATCATGGCTCTGTTACCCTTAGGTTTTGTCTGGGGCTCTTTTGAAGCTCATGGTTCTCTCTGTAAATTGGGGGTACCATTTGCCTCTTAAGGTGGCTATGAGGACGATGACATGAGATGATTAGGTAAATGTCTCACTGTGGTGCCTCCCAGAATTAGGAAGCAATAATGACAATAGTTGTTATTAGTGATTAATAATCTTTAGTAATCAGTAATATTCTTGATATTAGTAATTCACAGAATCATTTATTTCTGCCACCACTAGCAAAGCATTTGCAGGGGCTCATCTGAGCTACTTTAATAAAAATAACACAGATTTAAAAAGAAAAAGGATCAGGGAAAATAGAACCAGATTAGGATATTAATATGTGGGAGCCTAAAATAACCTCAGATTTGCAGAGAAGACATAAATTTAGATTATGAGATTCTTTGAGGTCAAGGGAGAAATTCTGAGAAACAAGTTATCTCACTTTTGTAAACAAACAAATGAAAGCTGTATAACATGGTGGTTATTTCTGGGTGGTGGAATGATGAGCTTTAAAACTGTGTGCTTTTAGCTTATTTATATACATTATATTTAAAAATGAACATGCACTGTTTTTCAAAGAAGAACATTATTTTAAGTAGAAATGAAGCAAATTAACAAAGACAAATAGGGCCAGTGACACAGTTTTCACACTACCAGCACTTGGATCAGAGTTAGGGCTAAATAAATGTGCTGCTGATTCAGCGTGTCAAGGTTCACAGGAAGAAATGTCATGGTGTGGCAGGTTCTGCCTTTACACTATGGGTTTCATGACTTGAACTCAATGAAGGAAGTTGGAACTCTGATCTGTTATCCTCCACTGCATTGTTCAGGTTCCCAGCGTGCCTCATCTAACTTTAAATATGACATTTTCTCTTTCTTTATGTTTCCTTCATTTGTTTGTTTAATTACTTGTTTTTAATCTGAAAAATTGAGATGTTAAAAATTTTTTCCATATACAAAACCACTGCTAAGCTGATTTTGCTATCTTTCTTCAATACACTTAAAATCATATTATTTCAAGACAAGCTTCTTGCTTGATCTTAGTTCTGTATATTCATGGAATATGTACCACTCTGCCCAAAAAGGAACAAGTCAGAGTATTTGTCCATATGGGTCCCATGAAGGATATAGTCAACATAAATTCTGCACTTAGTTTTTCTTCATGAATAAAAAAAAGGTGCAAATGTTATCTAATGTACTGGCTCTCATTAGAGCATGAACAGAAAGCCAATTTGGAATAATCTTGATTTTATTTTCATTTTCCAGGTATCAAAAAAATCAAGGGAAGTGCTGGATCCCTTCTAGAAATTGCTAGTCTCAGAGAGAAAGTGTTGCTCTCTGAGAAGCTGGGTCAGGGCTTGGAGGGCAGTCATGGCTGCTGATGTCCTGTTTAAGGAAGTGATACAAAGTCTGATTTACTCAGAGGAGATCAGACCCTACTACACCTGAATGCCATATTGTAAAGAGGTTATAGTAAATTAGGGAGCACCAGATAGAAGATAGCCAGAACAGTGAGGGATCTGTAAATCATGTCATGTAGGAAGGAACATGATTGATGAGAGAAATGAGACTATTTGGCCTGGAGAAGAAAAGATTTACTAGGACACACTTGCTGTCTTCAAATGGTTAAGGAGAGAGTGCACTGAGTTATGCATATTCTGCTCCATCTATGTTAAGTGCATTCTGTTTGTGGGGCTGGGTGGGGCCAAGGGCAAGTGGGTGGAGGGGGAGGTAGGGGTTCAGCTTTGTATCAAAAAGGTTTTTCAATGAGAACAGTTCCAAAAGGCTATGGACTGCAGAGAGAGAGAGAGAGAGAGAGAGAGAGA